ACCTGACTCTCCCAGATCGTAGCCACACACTTTAACCATGTTGAACACCACACTGGTTCTTCTCAGTATTTGGGAAGCGGGGCCCCTCAATGTCCCGGTCAGGAGACCCATGCCGGGTTCAACGCAGCACCGCCCCCCCCCCCCCCAGGGAACGCACAAGCTCTTCTCTCCAACTTCCCGGATTTTGTTTTGCACTTCAAAGTTGGGTTCGCCTTTTGGCGCCTGCACCCATCCTGTGCTCGAAGACTTGCAAGCAAGTTCGCTCTGGGAGGACGGGAACCTGGCAGGTGTGTCTGCATCTGCAAATGGGAGGGGGGGGGTTGCGATTCCACCTTTGATAGAGGCAGAGAAGCTTCCCGGAGGAGCAAAGGGATTACGGGGCCTCGGCAGATCCAGAGGAGGCAAAGAGGGAGCTTTGCCTTTGATAGCCGAGCCAAGCCAGAGATGAAAGCCATCTTCGCCTCCCCTCCCCGCGGAAAGAGGAGCGGGCCAACCTCGATCTTGGGATCCCAACCTTACTTTTGTGATTTCTGGCACCTCAAAAGACCCCAGTGGGCAAGGCTGCTGCTGTAATTTGGGGGGGGGGGGCGGTCTCTGACATAACTTGCGGTTTAGCACCTTTTGGGCATCCAGGCAGGACTGGAACTCAGAGCCCGCCCTAAACGATCCCACCACGATGCACCACAAGGAGCCAAAGCGGGTAGCGGTCAGAATATCAAACTAGGAACTAGGAGAGCCAGGTATAAATCCCCACTCTGCCGTGGGAGGCCTGGAGGATGGCCTTAGGCCGGACACACACGCCTAGCCTAACCTACCTCACAGAGCTGTTGTGAGGATAAAAGGGGGGAGAACGATGTGAGTTGCTTTGGGTTCCCAATGAGGGCAAAAGTGGGATGCCAACGAAGTAAGTAAATACTCAGGCCTCCTGTGGCACAACGGTCACATGGGGCACTCCACGCCAACGTGTGCCAACAGGCCTCGGGTTCAAATCCTGTCTCTGGCTCTCTACCAATAGACAGAAGGCCTCAAGCTGAACCCGCAGTGACATTACACCAGAACACACACACACACACACACCAGGGCCCTAGAGAGGTACTGCCAGTCTGAGTAGGCAGCGCTGGGTCAAAGGGACTGACCCTCTGGCGTGGAGGAAGGCAGCTTCAGACGATCAGAGGATGGCTGGGGGGGGCAGCGTTCTCTCCTCCCCAGGAAAGAGGCTGCAGCCTGCCAAACTGGGGGGGGGCCCTTCCTGGCTTGTCTTAGTACAGCCCTTTGTATGGGGCAAAGATTCAACACTGCCCTCCGTGGACAGAGGAGTGGGACGAGGGACTCCGAGGCCACTGGGGGCCTGGGTCTGCCACCCCCCTCCCCTGCCTGGAGCCAAAACAACTGGGGGGGGTGGCGGCTAAGACCAAGACTGCATCGAGAAGGTATGCGGTCAGGTGGAGGCCCCAGCAGAGACACTGGAGTGGTCTGAAAGAAGAAGACTCCGTGGGGGGTGGGGGGGAGGCCCCCTCCCTCTGCAGCTTTTGAGGCAGGCAGCAAAGCTCTCCGCTTATGGAGGGGGGGTGTTTGAAGACTTTCAGAAGGACCCCCCCCCACGTGGGGCTGGATGGAGGGACCACAATAGAGGAATTCAATTAATGCATCACACGCTCCAGATGCCCTGCACAGCCCTGGGACAGACCTGCCCCAGGAGGAGGAGGGGGAAGGCCACAGACTGGGGGTGGGGGGGTGGAAAGGGGTTGGAGGGATCGGAAGGAAAAGTGAGGCTGCTGGGAGGGAGGGAGGGAGGGGGGGGGTCCAGGCTGCCGCTGAACGCGAAGGGGTCTGGCAGTTTGCCAAGCCATCGCCCCAGCAGCCTTCCTCGCGAGAAGCGCTTCGGGGGCGGGGGATCGGCTCCAGTCAACATCCCAGCTGATGGACATTCTGCCGGGAAATCCGGGATGGGCCGGCCAGAGAGACCTGCAACAGATTTATTCTGTCCCGGGTGATATTTCTTGCCCCGGAAAATCTTACTTGAGTGCTTCCCGCCCCAACGCCGCCGCACGTGAGGATTACACGCGATGCAGAGACAACTGGGGGGAGGAGAGCCAGGCCTCTTGGGTTCTCTGGAACAGGAGTGGGGCTGGTGGCGTCGGGGGCAGCCGTTCAGAGGCCCAGACGAGGAACAAGCTTTGCCGGCACAAAATCATAGTACCCCTGAAGCCAGCAGCAGAGCAAGGGACACGGTGCCTCTAACCACTCGACACCACTCCTCTTCCAGGGCCTAGAACAATCCTGGCAGCAAGTCAGCCAGCCCTTCGCCTGCAAGAGCCCAACGGCCCCCCCCATCCCACCCACCCCTTTTTCCAAGGCAGCCCT